CGATGGTTGCCTGGCTGAACCTGCATTTAGCCGGGTTAATGATTAAACCATGGTCGCTGAGCCGCTGGAAAAGCAAATGTAGGTGTTGCATGTGCTTGGACACCGAAGAGTTCGTCAGCAAAATTGCCTAAATAGATTAACAAAAAAGGCATATCCACGAGTCATGCACACACTCCCAACACACACATACGTATGCACACAAGACATTGGAAAGTATATACGGTGCCCTTCAGGCTGAAAGGCATCCGCAAGAACTCAAAAAGTCCAAAGGGTGTGATCACAGCAGCCTTGGGTATATCTGACAAGTGGAACGGAACCTGGTGGTAGCCCCTCACCAGGTCCACTTCAGAAAAAACTGTTCCTTAGCAGAAAAGTCATGAATGTGGAGAATGAGGTAACTGTCATTGGTAGTGTCGTTAAGGATGCCTAAACAAGGGCGCCATTTGCCTTTGGGACCATGTGCAACGGGGACGCCCATGGATTATCAGATAGGCACACAATGCCGAGGTGTTCCATGTTAGCAAACTCCTTCTTGGCTATTCCCAACTTGGTGACATCCAGACGCTATGGCTGTGTTGATATAATGTTCCACCCCGTGTTTAGTTACTGAAGCAGTGAACGTGGGGACAGTAATAGAGGGAAACTTTGCCAACAAGCATTGGAACTCATCACCCAAGGCAAGTATGCTGGCCACGGGTAGGTGGGCGGGGCCACCCAGCGAGCAGGGAAGTTAGCCTGGCCTGCCAGACTCGTCCTCTGCTTAATTCTGCACAGACAAAGAGTCTGGTAACTCACAGGCAGAGAGGCACTTGAGGGGCGGGACTAGGCAGCTCAAAAATAACCAATCCGATAAAAGACGGAAATGCCGACTTTTTAGCTGTAGTAAAAAATGGCGTCTGGAGCGGGCACAAACATATTTTATTTTTTAAGAAGAAACACTTTTAGGGCTTTTACTTGTTGTGGTTTTAAAGACATTCAAGTCATTTAGAACAGAGGAAAGAGTCGCAGCAACCTCCACCGCTGTCTTCGTTGTTTATGAGGAAAACTGTAGTTTTTTAGCTGTAGTCAAAAATGACGACTGATGACAGCATAGACATCTTTCTTTAGAAGAAAGGCTTTTAGCACCTTTGTTGTTCTTTTAAAGACATGTCCAAGTCATTTAGAAAAGAGGGAAGAGCTGCAGTGAACTCTGCTTCAGTCGCAATGTTCGACAAACTCAGCGTTGTGGTGTGTGACATATGCTACTCAGCGCTGATTGGCTCGGTTAGAATTCTCAGGGGGTTGGGCTATTTGAATAGGAGAGTTCCCAGACCCTTTCTCTGTGCAGAATTAAAGAAAAGTATCAAAGGAGACAGAGTCAATCTAACATCTGTTAGCAAAATTAACCATTAGCCCGAATGCACTTAGGAAATCAGCACCCAATATGCATACTGGGACTGACGTCATCACAAAGTCCCGACTAAAATGGCGGCCATTAAAGCACACAGTCACCAGTCTGGAACCAAAGATGCGGATGGGAGTCTTGTTCCCTGTGTCCATGTGCAAGAGACAAGGAGTCCGCCATTGAAGCAGGAAGTACACTCCGCTGTGCAGCTGAGTCAATGAGGAAACGTTGTCCTAAAGAGGTGTCCATTAAAAAGAGCAGCTTGTCTGAGGTGCTGGTGCTAACAGCTGCTAATGAGCATCAACCTTCTTGTTTCCCTGGTGTTTGAAGGTGCAGGCATGAACACAGCGCTTCACTTTCACACCAAATCTGCAGTGATAGAATCACAGAACATCGGTCCTCTTCTCGTGTCCAATAACAACAGCCTTAGCCACTGCTTGGCCTTCATCCGATCCTGGTAGAAGGGTGTGCAATCCTGGAGACTCAGAAGCCAGCAGAATGTTGTCTCCCTCCTCAGCCAACGCTCTAAAATTCTTAGAGTGTAGTAGACTGGAGCTGGCCAAAGCCGTGCGAATGAGAGGCGGGAGCTGACACAAGGAGAGCTGAGTAAAAAGAAAAGAAGTATCACCTGAGTCATCGTCACCAACATTTTCTCCATGAGCTCAGAAGGTTTACTGTCGCCTAGGCCTGGGCAGTATGGCAAAAATGTCATATCACGGTACTTTTTAAAAATATATCGGTTTTACGTATTTGACGGTATTTTTCACAAGGCCGTGATTACTCAGGTTATTTTAATAAGAAAATAATTGCTGCACTAGATTGGCCTTAAATAGCCCGTTTTACCTTCATGTGCAGAATACCAGTTTTTCCATGCCCAGTCACAGGTAGGTAAATGCAGAACCCCCCTCAAAGTATCCTCGTCAAAAGAAAGCAATTAAGAAAAAACAGCTAGAAAGATAAAATATTACAGTCAAAATAAACAATTTTTATTGAACACATTTTGCATATAATATGTGCAGTTAACCATCTTTATGGTTTCACATCCAACGTTATTGCTTTGGTTATCTTGACCCAGCGCTTGATTTTTTTTTATATACAGTCCCTTTAGTGAACACGTCTTTAATGGACGTCTGTTTCTGACTGCTACTAGCTGTTTTAGCCTTGGAGGTGGAGGGTGCAGATCGAAGCTAGAGACATTCTTGGTAATCCAAGACGTGTTTTGTGATGAAGCAAGTTGCTGGTATTACCCCCGCCGGCTTCCACCGTTTCTCGACAGCATTAGCACATAAAAGTTGTTTGCTCCATGTCCGAACTTTTAAACCCAAAACACCTCCAAACAACAGACGCGGCTCCTCTTTTTGGAATAAATTCTTCTGCATTCGAAGTTTTGATGTCGCCGTGACAGCTCCCGCCAGCCGCCATTCTTGGTTTCACAACGCTGTGGTGTTTTTGTGTAGCAGTGAAACGAGTCCCCGCTGAAACACTTTCCTACTACGAACATTCTGTACGTTGTCTAGGCCATTCACCAGTATAGCGGGATGTGAAACATTCATATCATCACCAAAATAAATACCGGTTTTTAGTATGAACCGGTATACCGCCCAAGACCACTGTCGCCCAAACCCTTCAATGATAACAGGCGATCGGCTCTCTCATCAGAAAGTTGATGAAGCCTGAGCAGACTGTTCTTCAGCGCTCCATACTCGTCAGTTGACGGAGATTGAGATAACAGTCCAATCATACGGCCAGTTGAAACTGAATCCAAGGCAGCTGTGACATTTATTTTGTATCGTCTGACGTTATCCCGCGGAGGTGGAATTGGGCTTCTACATGTTGAAACCAGGGCTCTAGGTCATGTTGCCAAAACTCCGGAAGCTTAATCGTAGCCGCAAAAATAACAAGAGAAGAGGCAGCGGCAGCCGTTAGACTGCTCGTAGTGTCTGTTGAAGAAACCCTGGAATCCATGACAGTTGGGCGGTAGATAGGAGATATACCGACGTGGGGCTCACCAATGTAGGAGTTGACAAGCACTGGAGGAGGGCCCAAGGTGAGATGTAGAAAAAACAGCAACCTTTAACAATCCACTCCAACAACTCCTCACAGCTTAACAACCGTTGCTACGCTAAACAGGAAAAACCTTTTTTCCTCCTTCACAATAAAAGCATGTCATTCCGTGACCTTCACTATAAGAGCATGCCTTTCTAGAGTTTTATTGTGTTACACCACAGAATATTATCTTTTGCATGGACTTTTCTTTTTGGTTTACCCACATTTTAACCTTTCAAACCATCTACTGGTTTTAAAAAGGCTATAGGTGCACCCTGGACCCAGTAGTAGTTTGGTCCGGTGCAGGTGGTACGATCCTACCTGATGTTATTGTTTTCTCATACAGCGATCCATACATGTCTGTAGTAATTTTAGTTCATCATTCATAATTAGCAGGGGGCGGGACTTTCAACACCACAACACTCTAGAAACAAAATGGCAGCAGCTACAATCAAGTGGTTGTGGCTTCACTTTTCAATAGCAAATTGATCATCTTTCAGCAGCAAAGACAGAGACAAAAAGACAGAAGTTCATCATCACAGATCCAGATGTGTTTCTGTGCTTTGCCTCTGCTGGCTTTCGAGATTATTTATTTATTTATAAGTTTCTCTACAGCTTTCTCCTTTGCAGCCTTTATTGTAACGGGGTTAGGGTGGTTTATTTCATATTGGGGCAGCAGTAGCTCAGGTGGTAGAGCGGGTTGCCTCATGATCGGAGGGTCATGGGTGCGATTCCAGCTCCCGCCAGGGGTATCCTGCTGTTGTGTCCTTGGGCAAGACACTTCACCCAACTTGCCTGTGTTAGTGGTGGTCAGAGGGGCCGACGGCGCCAAATGGCAGCCTCGCCTCTGTCAGACCTCCGCAGGGCGGCTGTGGCTACAAGTAGCTTCCCATCACTAGCAATGTGTGAATGTGAGAGTGTGTGAAAGCGTCTTTGGGTCTCTTGAAAAGCGCTATATAAGTTCAATGCATTATTATTATTATTATTATTATTATTATTATTATTATTATTATATTTCATCATTTCAGACATTGCGTCATCTACCTGAGTAGGAATCCTGATTGAAAAGTTATTGCTATCCCATAGGCCACTGTAATGACTCACAGACTTCCTCTAGCTGTGATCGGCTATTATCCTTTGTCAGAAGATCATCTGGACCAGAAGTCATTTGACTTACGAAGTGGTGATCTGTCCTAAGAGGAACCATACCATATCTCTTCACCTCAGGTGCAGCAGTAGCTCTGGCGCCAGGCTTAAATTTGGCCATTGACGCAACCAGCATGGTGCCAAATGTCTGCCGAAGCTCATCTAACAAACATCTGCTCATGTTCCAGCAGATCATAACTGGCAGGAGGCTGGAGCTTAATGTAGCTTAATGTCTGCAGCCATGCTCTATATGGAGATGTAAGGCGATAAGCTGCCTTCTGTAGACTCTGAGGCGTAGGAGTCCTCCTCTTCTCTCCTACCAAAATAGGTTCTGGGATAGATTTCTAACAAGATTCACTCTTTCGCTAGAAATTAACTTAACACCTAAGTGTTCAAAGTAAAAAAAAAACATCTGTTTCCACAGATTCAACCATGACCTCGTGTTTGGAGTATCTGTAAAGAACCTGTCCAAGGCAGAGAGGCTGATCTACAGCGACTCTCTCATGACGCACGCTATGATCCTCACTGCTGTTACAGACAAGGTATGCTCACACGATGAAGCACTGGGACAAGCTTCTAGGAACCAATCACATACAGACGGTGTTTCCCCTGGATTTCTTGTTTGTTTATATGGCTCTAAGCCACTGAATTTCCTCATAACTCTGTCAATTTCCTCCACTTTAAGTAACCCCAGCTGTCGGTCACTTTCTCTCCCCTTATCTCTCTCTCAGGATGGGAGAGAAGGTTATGAAAAGTGGAAAGTGGAAAACTCCTGGGGTGATGACCGTGGGAACAAAGGTAAAAGCCAAACTCTTTATTTCTTAGGGGAAATGTTGGCTGTTCACCTGTACAACCAGAGCTTCACCTGGATGTGATCTTTCACTTTTCTATGCTGAGTCCCGTCCGAAAATTAGTCATCATTCGGTTTTGGTGGAAGGAATGGACCATGATTAAATGAAATGGTTTCTGTGATTGTGTGTTTTCTCATACAGCGATCCATACATGTCTGTAGTAATTTTAGTTCATTCATCACTTTGGTAATAATGAACAACACACACACACACACACACAACGTTTGCATGTTTGTTGGGAGAAACATTGTGAAGTAGGATCAGCCTCACCATGCACGGTGCTTCAGAGGACTCCTCAGTGGGACTGCAGGATGATGGTTTAGCACGTTCCAAAACGTCACCATGTTAACAGCTCTCCCTCTCTTGCATGTACCCATGTCTGAGCATCGCTAAGCTAGGCGTATGTTCAGTCTTTTGCACACTTTGACCAGGACTAAGCGCACTCGCCCCAGCTGTCTTGGTTGTGCTGATGAGGTTTGTGCTGGGTTAGTTAGGGCTTGGTTTTCAATTAGAAAAACGCAACAAATGCTGTTGCCTTACACACTGAGAGGCCGGAGTCGCTGACAAATACGCACACGCACAGACTCTCAACAACATTGCAACATCATAATGTACCATTAAACGTCATAGTGTACCTCTTAGCCAATAGCGACGGCAGATTCAAAATCAATTGCAGTGCAGAGTTTTTTACCTGAAGACGGTGCAACACTGACAGTTTTAGGCTGAATATTTCAATTTTAACTGAGATGCACTAAAGTGCCAAATTATTGACTACATGTGTTTACAGCAGGGATTAAAGTTCCCCGTCGTGGCGACGGAAATCCGTCAGTTGGAATAATCAGAAAAAAAGTTACGTCAAAATCTCTTCTCGCGCTCGCTTGGGTTTAGTAGTTAGTCTCTCTCTCTCGCTCCCTCGCTCTCTCTCTCTCTCTCTCTCGCTCTCTCTCTCGCTCTCTCTCTCTCTCTCTCGCTCTCTCTCTCGCTCCCTCGCTCTCTCTCTCTCTCTCTCGCTCCCTCGCTCTCTCTCTCTCTCTCTCTCTCGCTCCCTCGCTCTCTCCTGTTGCTAATTGAAATTTCACCGGTGTTGAAATGCGTTTCTCCACCGTTCTGCACCGCCCAAGCTGCAAAAACGTGCGCGCTTATTGCTCGCTCCCGCAGTGCGCACAAACTGCGGGCGCACCAGGCGCTGGGATTCTAACAGAGCCAATAAAGCTCTGATATCACAATGAGAGTTAACGTGATGAGCGGAACCAGGACCCAAATTCCCGGTGGGCCGATCTGACGTCGATGTTTTAGTCGTCTCTTTGTTTTTTTCGGGCCGGTGTTCAGTCACGACACTCTGCTGATCACCTGCTGATGAGAGGATTTCTCCCATCAGTGGAACAGGTGAGCTGCTGAACAACCGTTAGTTCCTAGAAACACTTTCTATGCCCAGACTGTAGTGACCTGTTATTCATAACTTTATAATTAATATTAAGTGAATGCACTAAACCCACAAATGATAGAAGATAAGATTAAATATTATTAATCATATTACTGTCAAATGTAAATAAGTATAACCGATAACTAATCTTCATGAAAAAAAATTATATTAATAATTTTTGTTTTAATATTGATTATATTTCATTTCTAAGGTTTGGATGTCTGTGAACATTACAGAATATTCAGACTGGTGTAAAGAACATGATATTATTAATAGGTCAGGATCTAAAGCTGGTCTGAGGTCTAAAACTCTGCCCTGGGCCTAAAGCCCTGCAGATATATTTAGGTTCTATAAACAACAACAACAACAACAACAACAAAAAAAACAGCAGCTGGATTCTACTTTGTTCCTTAAATTGAGTCACGTAGTGTTGCAAGTTCTGCAGCTCACACGTTCACCAGGGAGCTCTGCCAGCTGATTGGTTCTTTTGGTATCTGGTGCAGTTCTGGTGCTGAGCAGCATGGATGCATCAGCGGATTTCACTCTAGTCTGTGTTCATGATGGATGAAGAAAGGACAGGAAAACGTTAACTCAAACATATCATTATAATGAACATGTATAGATACTTTATCATACATAGCTACCAGCCTGTAACTCTACTTTGCCTCCCAAAAATGCACCAGACTGATGCGTTTAAATATAAAATGTCCAATAACTGTTTTTGCAGGGGGGCAAGCCCCCAACCCCCCTAGAGTACTTTAATACTTATCATCTTTTTTACCTCAGAGAAATCTCAACACCCACACTTCTAAACACTGTACGTGAACGGGTTAATCCAAATTTTTCAGAAACAAGAATACTGACCTTAAAACCAATCAAAACCCGAATAGTGGCTGCATGTAAACAATGTGAGCCCCCACCCCCCACCCCCCCAATAATTTTCATTTTCAGTCAGATGAGAATTTTTTGCTTCAATCCCTGGTCTGCAGCATGATCATACACTCATTTCTATAGTTTATCAGCAAAAAACGTTGATGAGGGGTTGACTTGCTCTTTAAGTATCCAAGTTGAATCATAATAATGAAATGACACATGGAATATGAATTGAACACACCTTATTTAATAGTTTGTAGAAAAGCCTTTGTTTGTGATTACAGCTTCTAGATGACCCTTGTGTGGAGACACCAGTTGTCTACATTGCTCAGGAGTGACTCTGGGCCTCTTATGAACTTTGATCTTCAGTTCTCTCATAGATGTTCTATGGGATTTAGGTCGGGTGACTTTCATTTTGTGAAACCAGTTCATTGTTTCCTTGGCCTTGTGTTTGAGATACTGGTCTTGCTATGTCCATTTAAGTCTGCTAGTACCCCTTGCTGATAAGCAGCTCCACACCATGATACTTCCACCTCAAACATAACCGTTGATATGGTGTTGGGTGGTGGGCAGTGCCATTTCTTCTCCAAACATTGTGGCCTTCATCTGACCATACTATAGTCTAGTGTTGTAGTCAAGACCACACCACAGAGATCAAGACTTTACCAAGATCAGAGACAACCGAGACCGAGGCCAGGCCAAGACATTTAATGGTTGAGACAGAGGAAAGACCAACAAGACCATATATATGAAAGAAAAATTGTAAGCAATTATTATTTATGTTGTTTTTTGGTCTACATTCTGGAAAATAGTTTTTTCCTGCATGAAATTACACTGATTAACCATTTAGAGTTTTTTCAAAAGTTTTCACTTTGACATGACTATTTCAAAAGGTTGTACTTTGTATATTATTTGGAAATTTTCATTATATTTTGACATTTATAAATTATAATATTTATTATATATACAAGTTCTTGAGAATTATTATTTATTATATTTAAATTGTCACCATTAGTAAAGTTTTTAACCTTCCTTTCTAAACCCACCATGTCCTAAACACGGTGAAATAAGCTTTAGAAGGTGTTTGTGCAGCTTATTTACTCTCATGAAGCACAAACACTGCTGCTGTGCACAGCTGCAACATCGCTTTCTTTCTCATTGAACAAGTGAAAATCTTCATCACAGGGTGATTGTTCTTCTTGTACGTTGTCAACAATGAACAGACCTGTCAGCTTTGCAAGTATTTACTCTATTATTGCCCCCGTGTGCTCCACTTGTCTCCTCCTCTCCTCCATCGAGACCCTCTCGACGGGAGGTGCTTTTCAAGCTCTATAAACTCCAAAAATTTCAATTGAAACACCCAAAAGTGTTGCTCAGATTGAAGTTACACTTCTCCACTATCTCCTGATGTAAAGTCATAACTTCACAAGGGATCATATTTACTGCCGTGGCTTGTTAAACCCAGCAATGATGCTCGTCTCAATTATGCGACTTTAACGCTTAGACCAGGGGTGTCAAACATGCGGCCCGCGGGCCGGATCCGGCCCACAAGCTGGTTAAATCCGGCCCGCGAGATGGTTGTGTAAACTTTATTTTCATACTTTACAATGTAGAGTGAAAATAAACTCATCTTTGTGAGCAAGTTTTCTCTGTAATGAGTATAAATAAAACAAAGCTGCGCTCAAGGCTCACACAAGAACTTGAATCACATCCTGAAGCTGGCCGCCACTCAGGATGTGACTTCTGATATTGATGTGCTGGTGAAAGCTAAAAGATGTAAAGTAAAATGAGTCGAATATACTTTAAGTGCTGCATAAAACTGATCTAGCCATGTGATCTGTAAGCTCTTTGAATCACTAAGGAAAGTTTTTTTTAATATATTTATTAATTTTTATTTATTTCAAATTTTCAAGTACACTTCAGGAGTTGTACTATTTTGGATACACTGTCCTCAGGCTCTAGCCTTGTTTTATATTGACTGTATTAAAACAAAGAAAACAATCTGAAGTTGTTTTTAATTTACCGATCCGGCCCACTTGGGACTAGATTTCCCTCAATGTGGCCCTGAGCTAAAATGAGTTTGACACCCCTGGCTTAGACGGTTAAATCAGCAACAATTGAACTAAAAATGATATCATGCCAAACCTGAACGTCATGTGATAAAACTTGTTGCCGAAGATCTGAAAGTCCAGTTTCTTTCCATGAAAGCTAAGATTTAAGGAGAGCTTGGTTGCATTTTAGAAACATGAGGACTTCCAGCCTTCTGTGCCTCCTCTACTAAAAACCCTCTCAACTCCTGCAGAGGATGCGGGAACATTCAGTGCCGAGTTGTGGGAATCTGTCTTGGTTTTTAATTCCCTCTGGGATTATTAAAATATCTTTGCTTGATTGATTTTTGTACCAGAAGACCAGTGCATTATCAGAGTCAGTGATCAGTATGGCAGTAAAGTATTTGACTTGGGCTGCGCTTTTTGAGAGAAAGAAGATGTGAGCATCTCACTGGAGGTGAATCACTTGATGGATCACTAGCTGCAGTTGCGGCTCCGAACTCTTCACCTTTGCTGTTGATCAAGTCTTCAACCTCCGAGATCAAAGTGTCTGAAAAATACAACAACATGAAAGAAAATGACTCGGATAGAAAGACACGTAGTGATAATGTTTGCAGGTATGAAATAATTACCTTAAGGTTGTTTAGAACAAGCTTATTTCCCAAAGGTGAATTACAAAGCCGGTATCAGACATTTACAATTTGAAATAAAACCTGATAAATTCCAGTACAAGGCTAAATTAAATCAATCAAAATCAGTTTTTTACTCTTGATGTAAAATGTACTCGTATGTTATCTGTGAATTGTTCTTCAGATCTTCAGTGAAGTTCTTGGAGTTGTTCTAATCCAAACCGTGGTTCAAGCATTGTGGGCAAAAAGCATCGCAATCTTTTGACTTGCTGCACACATGAGCAGTTACTCCGAGGACGGAGCGAAGCCTGAGTTCAGACTAAATGTCAGTAGTTAAGGACACTTTTGGTGTTTTCTTCAGCTTCTCCAAAACAGTCTCTTTAACTTGCTTTATAAAACCTGGTATGTATTTCTCAGTAACTAAGCTTCTTGAGATTACTGTGTACTTGTAACCCACAGTCTCAAGAAAGAGTTTAAAAATTTCACCTTCCACAAGGGACAGTGGCAGACGGTAGTGGTGCAACCTGCGGGTTGGGTTGGGGCAGGTCAATAAATTATTACTTCAGTGTGGTGTGGCTTGGGGCCGGTTCATCAAATATATATATATATATATATAAATATATATATATATATATATATATATATATATATATATATATATATATATATATATATATAAATATATTTTTTTTTTCTAGATATGCACACTGAAGATAAAGACAATCAATGCTTACTTTTGTGCAACGCAATATTTAACACAAGGACAAACTAAATTGCATGTTTGGGAAAGATTCAGCGAGGTAATCAGTGCAGACATCAGCAGCATTGGCTACAATTGCTGTGAGAAGCTCTATAAACATGACAGTCACAAGACGGGCACATCCTGCATGGCAAGACATGTTTGCGGTGAAGGAACTGGAAGAGGGACTTGTCTCAGGGTCACGCAGGTATAACTGCTTTTTTTTAAGTGCAAAAATCCCAGCGCAGGTCAGATCTGAAGTTACGGACCCATGTGTTGCATTGTGCTGTCAAGATCCCTTTGACACGGTATCTGGAAATGTGGCTCAGTGTGTTATCAACATAAGTGCATATTATGGGTGCGTGGATGCAAGCAGCACACTCCCTGCACATTCCAGGGTGGCCTTTTATTGTGGGCGGTATAAGGTACACCTGTCCACTACTCATGATGTTGGATCAGCATCTTGATGTGGCACACCTGTGAGGTGGGATGGATTATCTTAGCAAAGCAGAAGTGCTCACTATCACACATTTAGACTGATTTGTGAACAATGTTTGAGAGAAATGGTAATATTGTGTATCTGGAATGAATTTTAGATCTTTAAGTCCATCTCATGAAAAATCGAAGCAGAAACAAAGGTGTTGCGTTTATATTTTTGTTGAGTGTGTGTGTGCGTGCGTGTGTGTGTGTGTGTGTGTGTGTGTGTGTGTGTGTGTGTGTGTGTGTGTGTGTGTGTGTGTGTGTGTGTGTGTATATATATATATATAATACATAATGTATTGTAACAGAATGAAATGACTGTTTTTTTTCCCTCCTCTGCACAAGACTAGTCTGCATGAGATATGGTCTCAAGGTCTCATGCATTCGCTCTAACCTGCTTATTTTCAGCTCAACAGAAGAATGAAGAATGAACTCTTTTCTTTTAATTAATCAAAGAACTCTATTTTAATAAAGCAAATCCAACCGAGTGTTAGTCAACAAATAAGATGTGACCGATCTGTGAAATCAAAATATTAATTACTTTATTATAATCCAATAGAGTATAAAGGTACTATGACTTTAAATGTTCCAACAGGACTCATTTCACATAGCATTAAAAGACATAACACATTACTTTCACTGATCCAATCAGAATCTGACAGATCTGACGGAGGCGTGGTTTTGATGGTGTTTGGCAATGGTGTCTCATGTGTTTATGAACCTCCTAACCAAAGCTTAACGCGAAGACATCACCTTCAGTTCCCATCAGAACAAATCGCTTCTTCGGATTTGCTGGTTCTGATTAACATCACACGTCATCCATTCACCGTCTCATCCACATTAGTCACACCATACATTTAGTGCTTAAAGTCAGTCTAGTTTAATTTGTTAGTAATAAAATTCTTAACTTTTAAACTTGTCTCTCTCTCTCCTCTTGTCTCTGAGTGAATACGAAGCGGTTATCTAATCCCTGCAATAAAAAGTTCCAATCTTCTGGTTTAAATAACCTCACAGATCCGTAAGGTGGATTTCATATTGCCTATGGAATCTTTTTCTTATGGCTTATTAAATAACGCAAATTAAATCTTATATATATATATATATATATATATATATATATATATATATATATATATATATATATATATATATATATAATATCCTAAATACAGCTAATTTAAATTTTGCTGTTTCATTTCAAAGGACACCTCTCCAAAATAAAATACATGTATGTAGAAATGTTTTAAGGAAGCCAGTTGAATAGGTGGGCCCCATAACCATGCCCCTGGTGTGGGGGCTGGGTTACAGACTAGTAAAAAGTCACTTTGTAACAGACCTTTGTAGTACCGGTACTCAATATTTGGTGTAAAAGGCCAAATAAATCCCAAGATGCCATTTAAAAGTTTTATTGTCTTTGTTTTTGTATTTTGTGGTGTCATTCAGACTTGTGCTTGTTGTAGTCAGTGGCACCCTTCCAGAGATCCTCCAGAGGTACTTGGTACGCCAGATGAATCCAACTCAGATTTGTTTGTTTTGTTTTCCTCACCCTTCTCTGTAGGTTACCTCATCATGACGGATGATTGGTTTTCTGAGTATGTGTATGAGGTGGTGGTGGACAAGAACTTCCTTCCCTCTGAAGTTCTGGACGTGATGCAACAGGATCCTATTTTACTTCCTGCCTGGGATCCGATGGGAGCGTTGGCATAAAGATAGGATGACATCCAAGTTGTAATCCCGGTCTCTGGTCTGGCTGATTGGCTTCACTCTGTTCCTTGGCTAATTTTAAATCCAAGTTTTCTCTCACAACTCCTCACTAAAGAGCCTGTTCTCATAGGAAAATTAAAGTTTAAATATTTTTTTTTACTGGACTGATTGTGCCTTTGTCTGTTTTTGTCCCTAAGAAGGAAGGTTAGAGGTGTTATTGTTTAAAATCTGTAGAAGGCTCCTTTCTTGTCTAGCTCATCTCCAGCTAGCGGACCTCATTTACCTGGTTCTTTACTTCCAGGGGAAGAAAACCAATTACAGTCTGTTCCTGATACACTCCCAAAATGGCTATTATTCAGTAGGTTGGTTTAACTTTGTTTATATTTAAAAATATATATAAGAATACCATTTGGGTCTTGCAGCTAATATGAAATAGAAGAACAAACAATGCCAACGTCATTAAGTCGACAGATTGTTCGACGTGGTCTGAGTGACTTTAAGTGGAGTGACCAAGCAGTCTGAGAATATGCAAATTATCTAACAGATCCCCTGATAAGGTGTCTAGTAAAGGCACCTCACCCATAGAACAGTTGGGTTAACAGCCATAATGAACAATTGATTCTACAAATGACCAGGTTGGTTTACCAGGTGGGATTGCTTGCCCAGGACTTTTGCAGTCCCCGCTGCTGAAGTGACAAAAATTACTCCAATGAACCTAAGGAGTGTCTTTTTTTAAATAAATCTGAAGAAATTTCTACAATTCTGTATCAATATGGGGTGCTGTGTATACATTAATGAGGAAAAAAATAATAATTTCATTAATTTTAGCAAATGACTGCAATATAGCAAGAGTGAAAAATTGACGGGGTCTGAATACTCTCTCTACCTGCTGTATATGTCCTTCAGAAATTCATCCAGCAGTCATGTGGATCTGCCCCCCGTCAGATCGCCAAAAGCTCCAGTGCATGCTGTCCTGCCTTTGTGCATGTCAGATGCATTTCAGGAGTGAACTAAATAAGTGGAAAAATTAAATATGAAGAACTAGTCTATATCTGGTCAAGGAAAATAGTTCACTTTAGAGGGTTCCTGTTCTGAGAAATGCAAATCAGTTCTAAGTGATAATGCTCCTCGTCGATCCACTGCTCTGACCCTGGCCGTGGTACAGCTTTTGGAAGGCTCTCCAAGCCTGCCAGCAATTTTTATGGCCATGGCGACATCCTCGTCGATCCACTCACTGAAAATGTGCATCCTAAGAGCCTAGGAGCTAAGGCTTTATAATGTTGCACATTATCTCCCATTTTTATTTTGCCTTACTTGTGGGCAAATGTAAGTAGGGTTAGTAGCAGAAGTAATCACTATGGAAAGCCGTCATGTGCCCAATACCATAACATTTAAAAACCATTATGAAAAGCCATAATATATATATATGTATATATATATATATATATATATATATATATGTATATGTATATATATATTTATGTATATATATATGTATATGTATATATATATTTATGTATATATATATATGTGTATGTATATATATATATATATATATATATATATATGTATGTATATATATATATATATATATATATATATATATATATATATATATATATATGTCCAGCAATGGTCAGTTTTTAGGTACAGTTTGACCATTCAACATCTGGTCAAAATGGAGACACGAGTCTGCATGTGTTCCCTTTAAATCGGCCTGCCTTCATCCCATCAGCTGGAGCTCAGAGCCTCTCTGCAGCTCTGAACACATGATAATGTATTGTCAACAATGATGTTCTCTCCTCAAGGTCCAAGCTTTCCATATCGTCCTACAGGACTCTTCATGCCTTTGAACAAGGAACATTCGCAGCTCGAATTAGTTGCTAAATCAAAGAATGATTTCTTAAATTAAATATGAACTTTTAAAACTTATAAGTTAAATAATCATTAAATAAACGTTTGTTTATTGCTACTTATAATAATTATAATTTAATGAAATGCTTTCATTAATCTGTGCTCAATGATTGAAGTCTGAAATGAATGTTATGATATGATTACATTGATTGACATATGTAGCGTGATGAATTGTCCATTTCTGACCTAAAAGGCCCTGCTCTATTTGCTTTGCCCAAGCAAAACCAGAAGTTTCTGACACAAGCCTAATCTACAGGATGTGGGCCAAGGCCGCTCATGCTCTGTGCTCTTATCTGAACTGTTGCTTCCTCGGACAGCACAAGAATGAAGAAAGAAGAACTCTTTTAGAAACAGAACAATTTATTAAATAATAATCAAATAATCATGTGAAGCTAATGTTCAATCAATCTGTGAAATGAGTATTAATTACTTGATATTATAATCCTATGATAGTATTTAATAAGTAATATAACTTTAAATATTTACACTAGACTGGTAAAAATCACATGACACATTCCTTTTTCTGATCCAGATCTGACGCGAGGCGTGGTTTTGTTGGTGCTTGTTAAATCCCCTTTTGTGGCAAATTCTGATTCGACCATAAATCAAAACATCCAAATTATAAAACTATGCCCCACGTCATCTTAACTTCAGTTCAAGCGTTCTAGAGAAGTTATCGCAGTGGCCAATCCGTAACTTTCCTTTTAAAGCCCAAAGAACCTAACGACAAGCTGGATTAAATCTGTTGCATGTTCCACCTGCTGCAACGGTTCCTTCAGAATAAAAGCCGAACCATCACTACCCCTTCAGGGTCTCGCTGATGCCAATAAACTGTCATGACCTGGGAGTAACTCAAGACTGGAAGGGTCGGCAACCGCTGCATATCTACAGGCGTCGGTTCACAGAGGATCCAAGCTGGACCCCCGACATTCCAGATCTAAACGGGGACCGTTGGGGTACGTAGACCGACAGATGGCGTCTCAATGTGTGTTATAATCTCCAAACCAAAGCTTAGAGCAAAACACCCTTTCACTCCCACCCAGAACTAATAGTCTCTCTGGATTTGCTGGTTCTGAACATATTTCACACACACTCCATCCTCAGTCTTACTCCACCTTAGTTACATCATACACATAGTGTAGTTAGTCTAGTTTAATTTGTTTAGAAATAAATCTTTTAACTTTTTAAACCTGACTCTCTCTTTCGTGGAGTTGATACGAAATGTTGCTCAATCCCTGCAATAAAAAGATCCGATCTTCTGGTTAAATGTACTCAAAGATCCATTAAGGTGATATTTCATATTTTATACTTCACATGGTATGGTTTCTAATTAAATGTAAGAACATCTTCTCTACATATATGTTTCAGCATGTTGATATGACAAGGTCATCACCATTTGCACTCACACAAGGACAACGTAAAGTTAGGTCAAATGCTTGGCACATAGATAGTCCTCTACTCCAGATCAGAGCATCAGGTATCAAAGAAGGCGTGTTTGAGGTTGTCTTGGTAACATTCCCCCAACCTGTCAACCTCAGGTTGGCTACACACACCATAACATGAGAACATTAAAACTGGATCACTCTGGTGATTCAGCAGTTCAGCTCAGTTCTTGAGAAAGCTTCAGACCGGCCATCTGAAGCAAAACCTCTCTAACCCATCAAAGCTTTTGACACGTCGTCAAATTCTTTTTGCACCTGCAAAGCTGATACAGCAAACTGTTCCTGCAGAAGAAGCTGATTTTGTTCCGACTCCTTAAGAGTCCCAGACGCGCGGTTCCATCCATCTGTCGGGACCCGAGACATCTCTGGACTGGAGTTGGTACTACGGTTTCTACAGCCCTCGGTGCCAGAGGTCATCCAACCTCTCTGACCTTCGGATCCACGAAGAGGGTCTCCGAGAACGGGTGAAATAGACACACAGATAGCGTCTGATGCCTTTTGATAATAATCAACTTCTTAGCTTAACGCAAACCAAATTATTTTACACCCAGAACTCAGCTTTCCTAGATACGGAAGTTCTGATAACATCGCATTCACACATAGGCACCATACACTACACCTACTCCATCTAGATCCATCCACTCACAGTAAATGTTAGTTAACCTGTCATGTTTTAATTGTTTAAAAAATAAATTCTTACTTTTATAAACCTGACTCTTTTCTGAATCAAAACGAAGTGTTTACAATCCCTGAATAAAACAAAGAATCCTAGAATCTTCTGATTAAACACAGTAAAGACCAAGCAGGTCGATACCCTAAATTTAGCTGGAGTATCACAGCTTATTGTTCAATGATTAGTCCACATTACTGATGGGGATGTGGGGGGTTGAATGGTGCTGTTGTGTTGAATGTTCTGATGGCCCAAGGGAAGAAGCTGTTGGAAAGTCTGGTGGTATGTGATTTAACTGACCTGAAGCGGCACCCTGAGGGCAACAGTTCAAACAGGCAGTGGGCAGGGTGGGTGGCGTCACGGAGGATAGCAGCGGTTCTCTTCAGGCAGCGGCTTCTGGAGATGGCCTCCAGGGATGGCAGGGTGCAGCCAGTAATCTTCTGGGCAGTGTTTATTGTCCTCTGAACAGCCTTCCTGTCCTCAGCAGTGGAGCCTGCATACCACACACTGAGACAGTAGGTGAAGGTGCTCTCCACGGAGCAGTGGTAGAAAGCCAGCAGCAGTTACTGATCCAGGCCACACCATCTCAAGACCCGGAGAAAGTGCAGCCACTGCTGAGCCTTTTTAACTAGAGCTCTGGTGTTGGCAGACCAGGACAGGTCAGCAGAGATGATGGTGCCGAGGAACCTGATGGAGGGGACACGGTCCACACATTCTCCATTTATGAGGAGAGGGGCGTGTGTGTGACGGTGTCTTCTGAAATCCAGAATGAGCTCTTTTGTTTTTTGTATATTCAGAGTGAGGTTGTTATCTGAGCACCACCTTGACAGATTACTGACCTCTGCCCTGTACTCTGCTTCGTCTCCGTCTGTGATGAGGCCGACCCCAGTGGTGTCATCTGCAAACTTAAAGATGGCAGTGGATGGGTGGGATGCAGTACAGTCCGATGTGTACAGAGTGTACAGTAGGGGGCTCAGCACACAGCCCTGAGGAGAGCCAGTACTGAGCAGGATGGAGGAGGAGAGATGGGAGCCAAGTTTAACATGCTGTGGTCGATTTGTGAGAAAGTCTTTTATCCAGTGGCAGGTGGAGGGAGGGATCTGAAGGCTCAGCAGTTTTGAGATAAGAATGTCTGGGA